CCTCCCCTTTTGTGAGGTGCCAGTCACTTGGCCTTTTACCCTTCTTAGAGCAAGCTGGAACAACACCCTTTCTAGACCTCTTTGTCCTTGACAGGCCAGCCTCGGCCGGCATCAACAATCACTTCCGTTTGGAGGTACTGCCATGAGTATTGGCAAGAGTTGGTGAATTGGGTGGAGGTGAGGAAGCTGGAGGGTCCATTGGTATGTCATTGTCAGGCATCGCAATCGGTGATGAGAAGAGGGAGGGAAGGAATGTCAAAAATGCGAAATTGACAGAGAGGAAAGGCCATGTGCCACGACGCGTCACGTCGAAGAACAAAGGACACAATGTGACTGACTCCGAAAACGGTGCCTGCCATCACCCCAATGTGTGCAGCCCTGAACATGTTGCAGATGTTGAACTGATGTCGATTGATGTGGTGCGACAACACTGCGACATGGGTGGGTGGAGTTGGGGGCCTTAGCTGGGGTGATGGAGGGATGGTGAGGAGGGGTGATGGGCCGTTGGGTGACCCCCACAGTATGGACGAATATGCACCACAATACTGGTATCTAGAGTGAATGTTAGTTCCACAATAAAAGTCACATTGGTAATATGACATACCTTGCAGGCCTCCCACTTCATGGGTCCCCTCTTTGAAGTTGCTCTGCTCCTCTGTTCCATCTGAGTGCAAACAGAAGTTGGTGAAAGCTGAAGATGTCAAAGCAGGAAAAACAGGAATCTAATGGGCCCGAAATCCGATGTCGGACTCTTTGGCACAGCCTACAAACAAACACAATGTGGTAAACTCGCCTGATGAAAGTCAACTGCTGAACAACTGCCAGACAACTGCCTTTAAGGCAGTTGACCATAAACTGCCCTGGTAATTACCACCAGTGTGAACTTCAGAGGGCGAGCAAGCCAATATATTCGAACTGGTCGATGCAGTCAGCTGTTGAGACCCCATCTCCCCAGGTGGTGTTGAGCTAGGTGAGAGGAACATGCCAAAGGTCGGGTAAAGGTAGAGACAAGATAAAGTCAAGACATTGAAATTTGATGGTCTCAAAAGCCGAATCGATGACCTCCTCCGGAGAACTCTCTAGCTGAAACTGGCTGGAGTGCTTTAGATTATGTAGATGTGCAAACCGTTACACCACTAGGTCGTTATCAGTAGCTGGAGAAGGTGGGTTAAACTAGAGACCAGGTGAGTACTAGAGGCAAGCCATTGAATTAAAAAATGTTGCCACCAAACTTAATGACCTAGTCCTGAATCGAACAGGCTTTCTGTCTGAACCACGGTCCACAGTTCTGGAAAATTGTCCAGGTGTGTGAGCCGTCACACCGTTAGGCCATTATGCATAGCTGGGGAAGGTACGGTAAAGTCATGGTCGGGTATAGCCTTCGCCCAAAAAGGATTTTGTTGGAGTAGTTGTATGGCCTATAGGCCTATTCCGAATCAGCAAAATGTCCAATTACACTTTGGTAACTTAGACTTTGATGTTAGCAACTTTGAGCAACTATTTCAACTTTACCATGAACTTTCACTTCAAGAATACATCTTTGACTTTGATTTCTACTCTTTGAACTACCTTATGAATGTCTTTCACTTTGGAGTTAAAACTTTGAAAGGAGGCTAAAAATTATAAAATTACAAGTTTAGAAGGCTATCTCATGTACATTGCATGTACGTGGTTTTCTCGCGAGAGTGACTTCCTCCAAAATGTTGGCATCCACAGCTCCTCCTTCTATGCCAGTGAGCAGGGAAACATATCACCCGTACCACCTTACTGATGTGTCTTTCTTCTAGACTGGGCCAACCATCTTCTCTTACACTCCCAACAAGTTGTGAATGTTCCCGAGATCACCTGCCGTCTCGGAGTTATCGCCATGAATACTCCCCTCCGATACCTTGGTAACAGCACCTTGTCACAGATACACCTGTGAACACCCATCGTTGTCTGTGTCGAGCAGACTGCTTGTGAGGGTAAACAATCAGTACTGTGCATGATGGACGAAGCAATGTACGTACTCACCTGTCATGACTTTCTTTCATTCCTCACGACCCTATCCCAGTTCGTAAATGCGAAACGCCAGCTGTCCATAGTGTATCCGCTCGTTTCCCACACTCCTGCATCCTTCCCATAGCATTTACGCATTGGGTTTGATTGTTGTGCTTTCATGTACGTGTTATCTTGGTTTTGTTCGTCTGATCGCGTATCTATTCACCCGTAAATCCTCGTGTTGAGCGGAATGCATGTGAGGGTGGAGTGTGCGCAGAGAGCTGAATCCGATGGCAAGCAAGGTTATATCTAGCAGCCAAAGTAAGTCCTCAAATGCGAATAGAGGAACGAAGTAATGTACCTGTGTAGGGTTTGGCAAGAAGATGCATGCTGTTTGTTTTTGCACAAGTTGAATTGCCCGGCCCTGATGAGAATGACGTGATCACGGGTTCACGTGACCTTGGTTCAAGAGAAATTTTCGGTGTTCGCACACTCTTTCTTCCTTCCCCACCAGCTCTTCTGTTCGCTCTCTTCGCTCATTGGTCGCCACGCACCCTCTTCCTGGCCTGTCTCACCCTCACGGTCCTCTTGTGCCCCTACCACTCCTCTGCTTGTTCACAGACTTCAAGTCTTGCTTTCAGATGGCAACCTGCAATCCGCGCCTTAGCCGCTTAGAATGATATATCTCGTAAGTGTTTGTTTATCTGTTCCTGCAAACTCTTCTTGAAATTACTGTCTTTCTGGACAGCTCACCATATCTCGCCTCAACAGCAACAACCCGAGTTTGGAGCACAGTAGTCCTCTCTCACAGTACAGATCTTTCTCTTTAATCTCTGTATTTTGTCTAAATCTAACACTCATCATGGCAAGCTATTTTATACTTTGGTCAGCAGTCAACCTCAGTAAATAGTGAAGTCAGATGTTAGTCACGAGAAAGTCACCAATTAGAGGGTGTCTGACTAAATGTCGTTTGTTTAAGCGTTTCTGACTATGCTCGTAGTACAATAGTCATACAGTAGTCTCACAGTCAGTCATGTACTCATCGTACAATAGTCATACATTAGTCTCACAGTCAGTCATGTACTTGTCGTACAATAGTCATACCTCAGTCATTAATGCTTGGGCCCAGTTTAGAATAGGAAATAGGCTGATTCAGATTATATTTGACTACTTTACAAGACACATGTAGTAGGCCTAGAGTATGAGGGGGTGAGGAACAACAAAAGGCCCTCTGCAACATGTTGTGTCCATTCAAATGCTCCAACGACACCATCGAGTGGTCCCCACCAGATCCAACACCCATCAAATCCTCCACATCCGAGTCCGAGTCGTTGCCATTCACATTTGCACAGGAAACGGGGAGGGAAGAGAAGGAGTTGATGAAGGCGCCATTTGGATTCGGGAGGCATCGAGAATATGGTTGTTGTTTGCTGGGCGAGGAGTTTCTGTGGCTGCCATATTTTGGTGGTGGTGATGGTGGGACCTGCAACCGAAGAGCGTCGTCAGTGTGGGTCGTCATTAAGCCTGATGCCAACTTAGCTCTTTGTTGAGTCGCTGTTATGTTTTTGTGTAATGTATGGAAGCCGGAAGCAGTGGCAGCACGTTGGACGACACACAGTCCTTGCGTTTGACCGAGGGAGCTCATGATGGTGGTAGCCACGAGTGTGTCGGGTGCATCTGCAAAAGAGCGGAATCCGTCGACGAGGGCGTCTGTGGGTATAGCTGGTTCACCAAAATCATCAATCGAGCAGTCGAGGAAAAGTATGTGGGACTGGTCGTCGGAGTGACAAAGTTGAAGTGAAGACGAACTTTTCAAATGCCAACACGAAGCAATCATGTGACTTGCAACTCAGTCTTAAGAGCTCTTAAGTCCAAAGCAGCGCAGCCTCAGTGTAGACAGAAATTCTTGGCATACCCATGCATAGATAATTTATGACAATGTTGATACTAACGTATGACTAAACTCACATCCCATTTGTTGCCAAGGGAAGTTTGAGGGAAGTGTGGCGTGAATATTACAGATGTCTGACATACATCTGACTGACCTCTCAAGGGGGCACTGGGATTTAAAAAAAAGACCTGGGGTCAATTTTTTTTTCCCTGGACTTTGAGGGGACTAACTAACTACGTAATCAGGCACCGGTCTAAATATAGTAATATGACATCATCTTCTGGAGCGCTTCCCTCCTCGTCCTTGCACAGACTCATTACAAGACGTGCAAACCCAAGATCGAGGTGCCTGCTCCAAAGATACACATTGTAGATGGTACTAAACAAGGGATCATCAGCCGACACTTCAGGAACACTCTCTGGTAGGTTATTGATCAGAGACTGGAATTTCGCGATGAGTTTGCTGAATGGCTGTCCAGAGAGTGGCATTTTATGAATGTCAGGGGGGAAGAGGTTAAACTTGCCCCACTCGTCGGTTGACGGTTACTGATTATGGTTGTAGGCATGACTTTTGAAGGCACAGGAGCCGCTTTCGGTCATTTGAAAAAGGTGAGTATGGAAGAATTCTTCTTCTTGTCATCCTTATCATGTTTCACTTTTGTTTCACAGCAGATTTTCGAACCCATATGATGTATTGTGAGGTTCGAGATCCCAACACTGCCACAGTGGACGTGTACTTTGCACTCTGGACATAGGGCGCATCCGTTGGCGTCAAGAACCGACTCTGACATTGGTGCCATATTACTTCCCTGTCAAGATGACCAGTAAGTAACCTGATTGACAGATGCTTGACTACTTACCTGAGATTGCGTTGCAGGTTCTGCTGGTTCCATTTTCATGTCAAAAATCTGAAAAACATTTTTGTGATTCATGATAAGATAATTATAGCATAAGCATGATTATGTACAACAGAAACCGCTATTATTTGGACTCTACAATGCTAGTTAGCATAGCTGGGAGTCCGGCTGGGTCACAGTAAGCTGATATGATGTTCTATGATGATTTGGGAACTAAGTTGTCGAAGATTCCTTTTTTTTTTTTTTGGACTGGACCTTGGACTAACTAACTGGGTACCGGTCCGGCATTCTATTGCTGGTGCCCCCTTGTGACCTCTGACTTTGTGTGATTTTGCTTGACTTTGCTTTTTACTGAGAGTCAACTCTTGTGAAACATGCAGTGGGGGAAACGAAGCCGTAAGACGCATGGACTGTGTAAGTTTTTTCTCCTGTCTCCCTCGCAGACAGGACAGACAAGAGTCGACACACACACACAGAAATGAGACACGACACACGTGATGGAGAACGACACACCTGTCCAATGTTCAACACATTTGATGGCAAATGTCGGTCACTTGCTCAGGAAGGTGTGTCGAATCTTATCCGCATGATACCATACTATCTCGATTGATTCCGCCCTTTTTGGATTGTCAGAAAATGAAAATTTGATGTGTGATGGAAATTAGCTATGTATCATACACCAAAGATTCTGTGGTTAAGTCAAAATCTGCCTCTCCATGCTCAAGTAAAATTTAGGATTATAAGTTTTATTCCTTAAACTACTTACTATACAAAGTTATACATAAATTCTAAGAGAGGGAGCAACCTTGCGACCCCGGAATGTACGCACCAAGAATCCTCACTGTCGACGGCCTAGTATTGGCGCATCTGGGTGTCAGTATGTAGTCTTGGTGGCCATGGTCGGGTGGGACACAGTGGTGGCCTCATCGCAAAGGGCGCTGGCATTTTTGCTGTCATTCGGGGTTGGTTAGTGGGGAGGCGTGGCTTACACACCTGGCTGCACAGTGGGTGCTGTATCCTCTGTTGGTTTGCCAAGTGGCACTGGGTCCTCGTCAATGGGCCTCAGCGCTGGATTCTGTCTGTGCAGGCATTTTCATGGGCCGATTCCGTCAGCGTGGGTGGTTTATCCTGGGCGCTGGGTTGTTGCCGTTGGTAGATGGGTAGTTTTGTGGGCATTTTCATGGGTGATTAGTCGTATCCGAGGGTG